GGGAGGGAGGGAGACAAAGAGGGAAGAGATATGGGAACATATGTATATATATAAATGATTCACTCTGTTATAAAGCAGAAACTAACACGCCATCGTAAAGCAATTATACCCCAATAAAGATGTTTAAAACAAAAATCTGATACATGCAACAACATGAATGAGTCTCAGAATCATTATACTGAATGAAAGTAGCCAGAAACAAAATATTACATACCAACTGTTTCTATTTAAATAAACCTCTAAAAATGCAAACCAATATACAGTGACAAAAAGCAGATAATTTGTTGCTCTGGCCTGGGAACAGGGGGAGATATGGATGCAAAGCGGCATGAGAAATACTTCTGCAAAATATAAATGCTCTGAATTTTGTCTGTTGTGCTTTCATGGGTATACACAGCTATAATATCTCATCAAATTGTATGCATTTATCGAATTTAGTTCATTGCAGTATATTATACCTCGATACAGTTTATTTTTTTAATGAAGGATATGATAACTTTATGCCAGTTAATCTGACAACTTAGCTAAGATGAGAAAATTCCTTGAAAACACATCAAAACTGACATAATAAGAAAGTCTGAGGACCCCTATACCTATTAAATAGTTTAATTGATTATCAAAACATTTCCTACAGAAAAAACTCCAGGGCTAGGTTGTTTTACTAATGAGCAAGATCGGATATTTAAGGAAGAAATAATATCATTTTACCCAAATAATATATTTGAGGACAAAAGAAGCCTGTCACCAAAATATAAAAAGATGTTACAATAAAAATTAGTCTGATATGAACAGACAAAAAAATCCTTAGCAAAATTTTACTAAAGTGAATTTGGTAATATATAAAAAGGATGATAGATCACAACTAAGTGGGGATTATTCCAGGATTGCAAGATTTGTTTAGCATTCAAAAATCAGTGACTGTAATTTACTATATATGTTCTCAAACCACCACAGAATTAAATTAAAAATAAATAACTAAAAGATGTCTAGGAAAGCATCAAATATTTTTAAATTAAACACCACAATTCTAAATAATCCATGGGTCAAAGAATAAATCACAGGAGAAATTAGAAAATGTTTTAAACTGAATGATAAATTTGAAAATGAAACATATCAAATTTTGTATAAAGGAGTTAAAACTCTGCTAAGAAGAAAAAATAGTCTTTTGTGTATATATTAGAAAACAGGAAAGGCCTATAATTAATTATATACATTTCAATCTTAAAAAAAATTATTAAGCCAAAAATCAGAAATGAGTAGAATAACATATATTTGTAAATTTTAATTTAATTAGTAGGAGTACACACACACACACACACACACACACACACACACACACACACACTGTAAATTTCCAAGACAATAGAGGAAAGTAGGAAAGCATTAAATCTGGTGGATCCAAGACGTGCTTTGAAAGAAGAAAAATGCAGAAAGAGAGAAAAAGAAAGCATGGTGAATATAAAATATTAGCAATTTTCATTTACATCTAATCTTTTTAAACTTATTATTCACCCCTTCTAGGATGATGGAGAGCCACTTTTAAAATCAAACAAGAAATATAATGCAAAAGACTCATTTTACAAGTCCTCTACACAAAAGTAAGCATTTTTCCCCAGTAGAATTGGATTTAAATATGTATTTCTTTTTTCTTTAATAACACATCTCCTTTGTGTCCACAATATCCTGGATCCTGTGAGGAATTCAAAGACTATCAGACACAGTTCTTTACTTACTTACATTGATTGCTAAAATAAACAGTTAAAGGAAGAAAACCTATACTTAATAGAAAAATAAAACCAAAACAGAAAGGAAAGGCTCAGAGAGAGAGGACGAGATAAGGATGTCCAGCATCATAGAAAATGAGAGCAGAGAAGTTTGAAGGAGAACTTTTTTACTCAGTTGAAAATCATATAGAGTATCTGTTATGTGTCCATGCCCTAGGCTGTGAGATTCACCAGTGAGTAAAAGACTCCTCCAATGAGCACTCACTATAAAAGGAGACAGACAATAAGCCACAAACGTAATAAGTAAATAGATCCTATCTTAGAAGGTGATGAGTCAATGAAAAAGTAGGAGAGAAAAAATAGAACAGGATAAGAATATCAAGAGTGTCCTGTGTGGAGTAACAGGCTTCCATAATAACTAGGAGGTCTGGGTAGGCCTCCTTGAGCGATGAGATTTGAGCAGGAACTTGGAAGTGAGTGATGTACAGATATCTGGATTGACTACTTCCCAGTCAAAGGGAACATAGAGCAAAAGCCCCGTGTCAGAAGTGTGATTGAGGTATCAAGGAAGAGCAAAGGCCAGGGGTCTACAGTGCAGTAAGAGAGGGGTAGCAAAAGAAGAGGTCAGGGAGTACCCAGGAACCAGATCTTGCTGGACATTTGAAGAGATTGTAAACAGTAGGGTGTTAGCAGTGAAGTGGCCGGATCAGACTTGTGTATCAAAGTAGTCATGGTGGCTGCTGGGTTCAAAGTGGACTGGGTGAGGGGAGAACCTGGGAGACCAGGCAGAAGGTTGCTGCTGTCATCTAGGTCAGAGATAATGGCGTTTTGGAGGAGCGTGGTAGGAAATTGTAACAGTTGCTGGCCTCTGGATACATTTTGAGAGCAGAGTCAACACAGTTTCCAGACTGGAGATTGTAAGTCTGAAAGAAAGAGGCATGGAGAATGATTCCAAGGTCTACGGCTCTGCAGCTGGATGGACTGAAGCCATCACTTATCAAGATGAAGGCCAGTGGAGCAGGTTTGGAGGGAAAGATCAGAGGTCAGTTTTAGATGTGCTGAATATAAAGATGCTCATTAGACATCCATGTGGATGTGTCAAGTAGGCAACGGGGTCTGTGGGTCTGCAGTCTGGGGGAGAGGTCTGGGCTGGAGGAGCAAGTCTGGGTGTCATGGCTTCTGGGCAGGGATGTCAAGTCCCAACACTGGATGAGCCAGAGGAGAACAGAGCTTGAGTCCTGGCATCTGTACATCAAGAAAGAGGAGAAAAAGGCAGGGGGGGTGTGTGCCAGCAAAAGGGACTGAGAGGAGGGAACCAATGGGGGTTTGGGGGGAGGAAATGCAGAGACCTAGTGCTCGGGTGGCAAACTAAGAAAGTGCTTTAGGGGGCCGGGGGGGTGAGCATCATGTGAATGTTACTGACTCTTCAGTGGCAGGTAATCAATATCAGAGGTCTAACTTCGACCATCAGTGGCTGAGTGACCTTAAGCAAACAAATTCAGTTTTCTAAGCCATAGCTTATTTATTTGTAAATTAATGTTCTTCTTGCACTGCTGCAAAGCTCAAATGAATTTTGGGGGGGGCGGTAAAGTGTAAGATGTATATACGTGTATGCATTAGTTTTCTATTGCTGTGTAACAGATTACCACAATATGGCAGCTTTACATCATGCCCATGTAGTATCTCACATCTGCATAAGACAGAAGTGCTGGCAAGTGCCCGCTGAGTTCAATGCTCAGGGTTTCTCAGGCTGGAATCAAGATGTCAGCAGCGGCTGAGTCCCAGTCTCCCAGGATCATTCGGATTGTTGGCAGAATTCAGCTCAGCGCAGCTCTAGGACTCTCAGGATTTGTTTAAGGATAACTGAAGTGTGTCTGCTGCTGTTTTCTTGCTTCTTTTTAGGGGTCACCTGTTTAGGTCAGAACCACTTAGGATAATCTGCCTTTTTTTTTTATTAACTCAAATTCAACTGATTAGGGACCTTAATTATCTGTGCACAATCCCTTTTTGCCATATAAAGCTGCCTTATAAACTATCATAGGCGTGATACCCTACCATATACATTTGCTCTGCCCACACTTGAGGGGAGGTGACTACATACAGTATGTACACCAGGGGCAGGAATCTTGGGGGGCAATTTAGAATTCTTCATACCACAGAATATGCTATTGTTAAGAACTATGCCAACTGAATATGTATTTTTCATAAAATGTCATTATTTAATAATTTTATAGGGCTTATGAAATGGTTCCTTGGGACAAGATGCTACCACCAAAACTTGATCCAGAAGAAACAACAGTGGAAAAAGCTGCTGACCCTATCTCACAGTGTTTTACACTGAAAAGATATGAAGGATTGCCAGCAATAACTCAGGTCAGTGATCACCTCTCATAATGAAGTTTTTTAATACATAAAAGTACACAAAACTAAAAAAGAAATCAATTATATTGAAATACAGTTCTAAACATGGACTTCTAAGAGGTTTGTGAACTACAGGTTAAGAAGCCCACAGTATCTTGAAAAACTTCAGCTTTTACAGAGAAAAATGATCATTAGAGAGGAAAAATATAGTTTTAATATAAAATCTCAGCACAGGATTTGTGCACAGAAATTAAAACCAATTCAAGGACCAAAAGTGTGTCTGGATTCTTATAACTATTTTTAAGGATCTCTCAACTCCTTTAAAATATTTTTATACCTTGTGAAAATTGGTCTTTTCTTACATATTGTTTAGTGTTGAATTATACTTGTATCCAAAGTCCTTCCTGGCGAGATGATGGTCTAAGATGACAGCTCTGGGTGGAGGAGACTAGCCTGGGGCTGTGGAGCATGGGCTAAGGGGGGAGCCAAGAAAGCACAGTCTTGGGATGAAAATCCAAACCAGATCTTTCACAAGGGCTTCAGCCCAAAGGAGGTGGCTAATGAGGCAGATTCCAGCTGTGAGAAAACAAACTGACCCTGAGGGTCTGCAAGCAGAGCAGAGGCCACGAGTGGCTCTGGAGCAACCCCCGGAGTGAATAAAGGTGCTCGGGGAGTGCTTTCCATTGGGTGACTTCCACTGGGGGCTCTTTCTTGCCTGTGATATGAGAGGACTGAAGCTTGTATACTAGAAATTACAGTAACTTAGAAGATATATACTAGAGATTACAGTAATTGGAACTTAAATACTAGAAATTACAGTAACTTGGTTAAATACTTGTCATTCATTTTGTTGGTGATTTTAGATGGTTGGTGGACTATGGGACAGATTTCAAACAAGATCTTTCTTGGCACCAGTCAAACCAGTCAATTTGTAAGTTTTATCTCCTAATGTTCTCATCAGTAGACCTTTTGCTGTCACGTATTTATCATAAGAATCAGAGGCTCTAGCCCATGGGTGAGGGGCATGTCCTCCGGAGAGCATCCCAGAGGCCCTCAGACTTCGTCCCTGTGGCTGGAAAGAGAACATAAATCCCAGTTCAGTCACTCAGTGTTGCCAGCTTTCTCTTGTTTTCTCTTAACCCTTCTTAAAATTTAGAATATCAAATATACCACAACCATTTAAAAATAAAGAGTGTTTTATATGTCACTTGATATGAAGAATTATAATGTTGTAAAATGCATGGACTTCAAGGATTATGAATTATTTTCTATCAACTTTTGTATAATATAGTTATTTTGAGTTCTAGCATTAATATGCTAGAAACAATGATTTATTACTAATCTTTCCACATAGGTAATTTTGTGCATTTAGTCTAAAAAACTTGGTGTTTCTGTCTTTGAAAATGTCACTATTTTGTCTCTTTTTTCTTCTTTTGACCTGCAATACAGCCATCATCTCTGTTTTTATATTTTAAATTTATCTTTTAATAATTCCTATATAAAAATGTAAAATAAAAATATGATATAATCTGTGCGTCTACTTCCCAACTATAAAAACAAACCGTTACTAACACCACAGAAGCTCCTACGTACTTCTTTCTAAGCACACGTGCCTTCCTAAGGGATCACCATTATTCTGGCTGTGAAGTTTCACATTTTCATGCACCCTTAAAACATATGTGTTATTCTTAACCAAGATGTGGAATTGTGCTCCATGTTTACAAGTGGTAAATAAGTGTTCCATGTTTATAAGTGGCATCAAACGTATATTCATACAACTTAACATTTTTGTTCAGTACTGTGTTTGTGAGACTCATGCTGGCATCTCTAGGTGTTCATTTTCTCTGATGCATAGTCTTCCATTGAATCGTTATACCACAATTTATTCATCTGTTCTTATAACTTAAGTTTTTGTCTGATTTCTGTTGGAGTTGGAAACAGTATCTCCATATCTTTATAAAGTATAAAGCTATTTCTGGGTTTTATATAGACATCCTTACATGTACAATTGCTACATCAAGAGGTGTAAACTTCTTTATGTTCTAAATATTGCTACGTTATTCTCCAAATGAGTTTTACCAATGGACCAACCATCAGCAATGCTTGAATTCCCACTACTGCACTTTTTGGCCAGCATTTGGAATTTTCAAATTAGAAAAATTCTAATTTTAGAAGCATGAAATTGTACTTCATTATAATTTTAACAATTTACCTGGTTACTAATAACCATTTCTTTTGTAAGTTGTAACTTACTGCATGTTCACATGTATAACTTACTTGTTCATATATTTTGTCTTTTACTGATTGATTATACAAATTTTTAAGTCTATTATTCTGGATTAAAATCCTTTATTGGTAATATGCATATCTCCTTCTAGGCTGTGACTTTTCTATTTTATAGTGCCCTTTGCTGAACTGAAGTTCAAAATTTTAATATAACTGAATTCATCAATATTTACCTCCATACCTTGTTATATTTGTGGAATTTTTAATAGATCTTTCCCT